ATTCGCGTGCCCAAGTCTCGGGCGTGCCAAAGCGCTAGGCATAAGAGTACTGATCTCGCTCGCGGGCTAAAAGGGAAGATGGGCCGGTGAGTCGAGGGCTTGAAGCGAGGCGATGTATCCGATCGTACACGCGCGACCTTGTAGATATTTGTCGCAGTGGCTTATATCTTAGTCAATATACATATTCCATGTATCGCGGCAATATTTGTCAAAGCTGAGGAAGGCGCCGAGAGTAGAAAGATAGAAAGGACGTCGGAGAGCTTGGCTATCGTCGTGGGTGTCAAGTGCAGACCGCGCTCGACCTGCTCCATGGCCGCGCGGACGCGCGTGAGTCGTCTCTTGGCCTTCACCTCCACCATGGCTCGCAGCAACTAGGATACTCCCTACTTCGATGCTGGCGCATAGGAAATGTATCATACAATCGTAGAGACTGTCTACGTGATGAAATCAATGAATGTTCACGCCTGGTCTGAGCCTTTGTTCTTCGTCAAGAGCAGAACGTCGCGGCTAGACGTACATCCGATTTTGGCCGGCCGCTTTGCCCATGAAGGCTTGACCGGCTATGTTCATCAGGCGTGAACGTAGTGGTGTGGCGCATCTCTCGCTTCCCGCCGTTCTGTTGACACAAATGATAGATCCCGTCCAAGCTCAAGCCCAATGAAGTTGAAGGACCCCGCCGCCGACCGACCCAAATCCGACGCGTACTGGCATCTGATATGATAATCTCACTGCTATATCGGGCCCACCCTGTGCTTCTCTCGGACATTTGCGGATAGGTCTTCTCCCGTTCTGGGTATCTTCGGGGTGGCCCGGGTAGCCACATAGCTGTATGTGCGGTGTTCATGTCTACGCCAATACGTTCGGTGTAGACACCAATATAGGGACAGAGTATAAGAAGAAGCTGGACTTTGACCTTGCAGCCGTGTGCTAGCAATATCGCAATGGCCGCCGACCCGACATATCCCCTCTACTCCATCGCTTGCATCCTGGCTTCAGCAATGCTGCTCCTCGTACTGCTGACTAGCTTCGTTCGTCAAACATGGAATCTCGGAGTTGCATTCTTATGCTTCTGGCTCTTCTGGGAGAACCTCGTACAGGGCGTCGACGCCGTCATATGGTCCGATAATGCGGATCTTAAGCTATACGTGTACTGCGACATCAGTCAGTACATCTCCAATGAGGCTGTTGCATTGCATTCGTCCAGATAACCATCTGACATGACGTTGAGCAGTATCGCACATGCAAATGATCACTTCAGTCGTCAAGCCAATGGCCACCCTTATCATTACTCGCCGACTATATCTGATCACCAGTCTGCAGTCTGTAGATTCTCCTACAAAAGCGGCGGTGAGTGTCGGTGCACGAACGACTGTTCTCACTCTTACTTTAGTATCAGAGACGAAGGAATTTCGCAATAGAGTGGACACTTGGCCTGGTAATCCCTCTCCTAGTCGCAGGACCACTTTGTGAGTCCCGTCTACGGATGCAAAGTCACTATGAGCACTGAGTGCACTTCAAGATTACATAGTTCAAGGGTTTCGTTTTCGGATCGATGAGGGTTCTGGCTGCCTTACCGCTGTCGACGGCTCTATACTCAGCATTTTGCTTATCCAATCATGGACTGTAATCCCTCCACTGGTGTCCATCGCCTTCTACTATCGTGCGTCAGCGTTATATTTGACGATCTCTCAATGCTCATGCACAATACTCTAGCCCATGTCGCTCGGATGTTTCATCGTCACAGTCGGGATATCGATCACTTTCTGCAGAGCAATAATTCGGTATCCCGAACAAACTACTTCCGCATTCTTGCTCTCGCAAGTATCGATATTCTACTCACGTTACCCTTCGGCGTTGCGACGATGGTGTTGGCCGTGAAGGCCACATTGCTTGCTAACGTCCCCTTCCCGTTCTAAGTACTTCGGTTGGACCTTCGATCACACGGACTGGCAACCACAGAGCTTTTCCTACACAGACATAGTGTCCGTAGGAACTTTCAATGTAGCCTCTTTCTATTTCAATCATTGGACATCGCCCATCCTCGCATACACCATCTTCGCTCTTTTCGGCGCCACATCGGAGGCTCGAGCATCGTACTGGCGCGTCATCTGTACCGTTGGCGGCTGGTTCGGCTGGAAGCCGAATCCTCGTAGGGGCAGGGCGCGTTCACCACTGGGAGACATTGAGTTTGGCGAGCGTCCTGCTCAGACGTCTATGTCACTAGGCCTCGAGTACGCTAGCTCAAACGTTCACAAGAACAACACTGACGAGGGCGAGCTAGGTCGAACCCAAGCTATATCAACCTCAACGCGCGCGTGCAAGATCAAGGGGAAGAGGGTGAGAGAGCAATCTTGAACGAATCGGAAGACGGCTCGGAGAAGGATATCGCTGAAGAAGTACGCCGGAGTACTAGTACCAGTGACATGCTGTACGCAGACTTTCACACTGCATGCGTTGAATAACATCTGATGGATCAAGTAGGCATGTAGACGCAGAGCGTTCGACGCAGCCTCACGGGCCCCACCAGGATGGTATTGACCACGCTGCGAGTGTAGTGTGAACGGTCTTGGTTGATTCTTATTATTTGACTTGGTACCGTGGCTTTTCGCAGCACGAGGTCACGCTCGGTTCAGAGAACGCAGTATTCCGAGATCAGAGTTCCTTATGTACGTGTCTTCAAACCGCTTGCGCATGCTTTCAATCCTTCTTCGTATATTTTGTTTCTGCTGTGTATTAATATGGACATTGATATCGTACTTCGGCCCGTCAAACCGATCTGCGGGCGCTTGTGAGCACGTTTGCGGATCAATCCAAAACGCCGTCGCGTACCTGTACCTGTATGCGAACCGCATAACGCTGAGCGATATCCCTCCGATGTCGATTGAACGGGATTTGAGGGGTGCGCGCCAGGGTTTCGTGGGGCCAGCGAGAGGTAGGATCTCACGCCTGCGGCTTGATCGTCAACTATGTAAGCGCCCAGTTCAAGCCGGGTGGGCGCTTACGCGCTGCGCCGCGCCGCGCTGAAGATCTTGCCGACATTTCAATAGGACCTTGATATCGCGAGGTCCTGCACAAGCCAAGCGCAAGCACGCTGGCGGAGTCCGACGAGCGTAGCGTACACAAGGCGTGCCGCAGGTAACGAGTATCTTTTGTAGTGCATCGTTTTGGACGTAGCCGTGCGTGTGTCGAGGAGAAGACGAAGAGGCCGAGGGATAGTCGAGCTGGAGCCGATGCGCCCGTTTATTGGCATTTGGGATAAGCGTAGCCGGCACGCCATCCTCCTCCTTGTCCTCGGAACTCCCGGTTCTCGCCATACCGCGCGCGACTCCGACATCTGCAGCGGGCCTTGCACCTGTATTCGCGAATCATCCTCTAGCACCATCTGCAAGCTCCATGTCCGCATGGCAGGATGCATTCATATGCACACGAATTCCGCGAGGGCCTTCTCAAGTCAAGAGCGAGCACACTGGCGGATCCCGACGGGCGTGCACGATGCGCGCCACAGGTAACGAGCATCTTCGTTGACAGTGGGCTTGAGTGTGTAGAGGCAGAGGAGGGGTGGATGGAGTTTTATCAGAGACGGCCGGCCTGGCCATGGTCGTTCGTTGAGAGCGAGATGATGAAGCCGACTTGAGCGCCTCTCGCGGTGCAGTTGATCAGCCTGCGCCTAGGCACCATGTGCAAGTGCAGCCGCCATGCCATCCCCCTCCTCGAGCTTGCAAGCCCCTTTCCCTCATCGTACCCGCGCAAAGCTGCAACCTCTGCGGCCGTATCCTTCCACATCAGCTCGCAATCACTACCGACACCAACCCCTGTACACGCGTGTGTATCGCCGGTCGCATCCGACCTGCGCCAGTCCGGTCGAGCCGACAATTCGCTGGCTTCGCTCACGTGTCTTGTGCGTAGCGTAGCAGGACGAGCCACAAGGGTGGATGGGCGAGTCGGGCGTTACGCTCGCAGCGAATGATTGTCCACGTCCCGGGTCTCGCGAGTGATCCAAGCGCTGAGCGGCGCACTGCAGTACTCGCGCGTACTGATGTGACCAGGTGCTGATACAAGGGTCGGGAGCACGGTGCCGGCTGCGCAAAGGGACGGCGAGGATGAGGGCGAGGGCGAGGGCGAGACGAACGGAGCGGACGAGGCGGTCTGGGTGTACAACGGGCATCATCCTCACTACACCCTCCGCGCTAGGATATGGTATAGGTTCTCGGACAGTCTCCTCTGGCTCTGCGATCGCACTTGAACCTTGAATCCTCGGACGCGAGGTAGGGGGCGGAGGTGGACCTAGGTGGACGGGACTTCTATGTTGCTGTGCGTTGGTAGTTGGGTGGGTGACAGGGCGAGTGGACGGGCAAGCGTCGATGGATGACTAGTGAGTGCGCTCGCTTATGCATCGACCGTGGCGGGTGAGGAGAACCAGGTCGCTTGAGCCGTAGATCTGCGGGTGTAGCACATGCTTGACTATGTTGTTGTGCATTTCGTTGTTCTGCTTGCCTATCAGCGTAAGAGACGGGGTCAGCGTGGCTTTCGAATGAGCGAATGACAATAGTCATACCTGGGCATGAATACCATCCACTAAAGCAGCTAGAGCGTCGTGCCCCTCGCCACCTCGCCACCTCTCAAAATCCTCATACACATCGTCCTCTCCGCAACTCCAACCGCCCCAGCCGCGACCTCCCCGCTCACCTACGCTACTTCGGCGGCAACCCGGAACAGAACACTATGAACACGCCTCCACGACACATTTGCAAACACGACAACTCATCGACACGGTCCGGCGCCGCATCCGGGCGCTAGGAGGGATATTGCCGGCCGGTGTCGCAAATCGGGGCGGCTGTCGCGCCCACGGAAATATTGCTGTTCGCGTCTCTTGGTCTCGCCGGCGCCAAGCCCCGACTATGGGAGTACACTCATAGTGGGCCAGGGGTTCACGAGTAGACTGACCGCTGCCTTGAGGAGATGTCGCCAATTATTTACTGGGTCAACCGGTACCGGTCTGGCGAAGCATTGAGTAATATAGGTGGAGGCATCGGCCCGCGCCACTCCCGGCTATCAAAGGTGACGATGGTTTGGGTACATGGTTGAAGAGAGACGATCGAGGAACGAGAGACGGTGCTGGGTCATCGTAAGTGAGGCGAAAGAATAAACCCAGAGACTGGACAAGACGGTTCGGACAGCCGACTGCGCGTGGGAAGGCGGGCCGTTTGACGCCCGGCCCGCTTCTCTGCACCGTCCGCGAGCTTGGCTTACGACCACCACCATACATAACTTGAACAATGAATATGATCCCAGCCTTCTGAACAGCATGCAGCGCGGCCCCAAGGCATCTCATCGCACGCCCATGAATGTCACGCCTTTCTTGCTGACGCCTTTCAAGCTTTTCAATCACGACCATCACAGGAGATGAACGAGTACTTCGTTCCTCCCAAAGGAGCCCCAGATACGCCGTACTTGGAGCCAGTACACATCTCTCATTCTCACGGTTACGCACATCAGCGTTCTGGTTGTCCCATCAACTGGTTGTACTGCTCTCTACGTGGGGGAGACACCGGCGTGAACTGCGCTGTTCGATGAAGATTCTCTCTCCCGAGCCGGCAGCCTTCTACTGGCTGCCTGTACCGACCATTTGCTTCAGAACCTGAGCAATGTTGGGAATCCCTCGTATGGCACACCGAGTAAGCCGTGTATTGCCCAGGCGCATGCACATTCGAGGCGGCGCTGACTGGGCCTGATGGCAGGAAAATGATCTATACGTTCTAGGCCTACACCGTCGGACGACACCTCCCTTCTAAGTATCGCTCCAATACGTTCGTCACGGGCGCTTTCTGCTACCTTGGGAGTAGGCGAAAATGATGTCGGCTTGCTTGTCGCGAGCACTGCGTCGAACCAAATAATGGTGGGCGTCAAATCGCGCATTCGACAGCAGGAGCTAATTTCATCTCCAGATTCGATCGAGTACACGTAGTCGACGTAATATCGGGTAACTATAGAGATTGTCAAAGCCATCACATCGGCGAATGCGCACGTCCGTGTAGCGTCAACTCCTGATCTTTGCCAGGCCGTCGACAGAAGGGTAGATGGTATCCATCCCCAAAGAAACGCGTCTGGCTACCCATGATGATGTGCATTCCCATCTTGCACGTACTGCCATCTTATATGCTAGTCTGACTGTTATATCGAGTCTATGGTACATTTGCGGATAGGCCCCTTCCCCTTCTTCACTTGCCAGCTCGCATAGCCATGTGCTTCATATACGGCGTCCTTGTCTGCATGGATACGTTCTGTATCAGATACCAACGTATAGACAGCATATAAGAAGAGTATGGGCTTTGACCTTGTAAGAGTGTGCTAGGAACATCGCAATGGCCGGGGCCGCCGATCCGACATATCCCCTCTACCCCATTGCTTGCTTCTTGGCTGCAGCAATGCTGCTTCTCGTGCTGCTGACCAGCTTCATCCGCCAGACCTGGAACTTGGGCGTTGCTTTCTTATGTTTCTGGCTGTTCTTCGAGAACTTGGCCGGTGGTGTCAACGCTATCATCTGGTCAGATAATGCCGATATCAAGCTGTACGTGTATTGTGACATTGGTGAGCATATCCTGTATTGGTATCGGCTCTGCATGACGATGTACTTAACGTGCAAACATGGCAGTCTCGCATCTAGGCATAATCACCTCAGTCATCAAGCCTATGGCCACCCTTATTATCACTCGCCGACTGTACCTGATCACAAGCTTGCGATCCGTTGAGCCTCCGACAAAGGCAGCGGTAAGTCTCAGTGCACGGCCTATATTTTATGATACTGAGCACATTACCAGAGACGCAGAGATCTCGCTATAGAGTGGGCGCTCGGTTTGGGCATTCCTCTTCTTGTCGCAGGACCTCTCTGTGAGTTATCTATAATGCGAAGATCACCGTGCACGCTGAGCGCGCATCAAGACTACGTAGTTCAGTGGCTTCGATTTGAAGTCGTTGAGGGGTTTGGCTGCACCGACTCCTCCGACGGCTCCATACTGTACATTTTGCTGATCGTATCGTGGACTCTGATTCCTCCATTTGTGTCCATCACCTTCTACTATCGTGCGTCAGGTTCATCTACGATCGCCTGTTGATCTCGCAACACTTATGTCGAGCACTCTAGCTCATGTCGCTCGAACCTTTTATCGTCACAATCGGGAGATCAACCTCTTCCTACAGAGCAACAGCTCGGTATCTCGAACAAACTACTTCCGCATTCTTGCTCTTGCAAGCATCGATATTCTATTTTCCTTACCGATAGGTATCGCGACTATTGTCCTGACCGTGAAAGAATATTTATCCTTTGGTCCCATCCCATTCTACTTTGGTTGGACCTACGACCACTCGGACTGGCAGCCGGAGGGCGCTCCTTATGCAGATGTAGTGTCCAGCGGGCCTTTCGATGTAGCACAGTTCTACTTCACCGAATGGACATCGCCTATCCTCGCATTTACCATCTTCGCACTCTTCGGCGTCACATCCGAAGCCCGCGCATCGTACTGGCGCGTCATCTGCACCGTCTGCGGCTGGTTCGGGTGGAAGCCGACTCTTCGCACGCGCAGAGCGCGTTCACCGCTTGGCGACATCGAGTTTGGTCAACGCCCTGCGCAGAACTCTATGTCACTGGGTCTTGAGTACGTCGCCGCGTCCATTCACAAGAGCATCGCGTCCATTCACAAGGGCATGACTGACGATGATATGCTAGATCCAACCCAAGCTACGTCAATCACGGCGCCCGCGCGCAAGATCGGCCTGAAGGCGGAGAAGGAGATGTAGTGGACGAGGCAGAGAACGGCTCGGAGAAGGATGAGATAGAGGAAGTACGTCAGAGCACGGCCGAGGAGACGTGAGTTGTCGTACAATGCTGCATGCGCTGGGGTACCGTCCTAACGCGTCAAGTAGGCACATCGGAAGCCCGACTGACGCTGCAACCTCCGTGTAGGGCGACACAAGCAACATCCCACCAATATCCTTATGGAGTACTATCGCGACGTCTCGCCGTGCGAGTTCGCATTCGACTCGGTATTCTAGTGTGGTCTTAGATCGGTATTGAGGTTCTGAACGCGCGGGCGCTTCGTGTCCACTGACTCTTGCTTCAATTGATTCTGCATGTATTGCGCGGCTATCGTACATATACTCATATAGACGCTGACATCGCGGTATCGAGCCCATCGCACGATCGAACGTTCAAGGTGGCTCATACATAGAAGGTATTATGTGTAAATCACGTCGATCTGCAAGGAGGATCGTCAGCACATGTGCGATTCAGTCTGGCCTACTGCTACACACCTCTGTGCGACCGCTCAAATGGCCAAAGCGCCGTCCTCGCCGTCCTCTTCCTCGTTTCGCAGCTTTCACACTCTCCGTGCACCACACGACCTCGATCCTTCTCTACGCATGTCATTCCCGCCCGTACCCTTCCCTTCGGCGCCTGACGGGTGGGTGGGAGAGATGGAGGCGGGGTTTGCGGCTGGATCGCGGTGCGCGGCTGACGCTCCGGGTGGGCGCTTACGCGCTACTGAAGAATTGATGCAACCGCGGGATCACGACAGGGACGCCCGTTCAACAAATATTCCGCGCCCTCTGTGTAACGATGGGGCTTGGCCCTTGAAGCTTGAAGCATGTAGTGGCCTCGCGCGTCGATGCTCTCGCAATTCAGGCTGAGAACTTGACTGGGTGACATGAAGTTCTATGCGGTAACAATGAGCAGGGCCACACGATGAGCTGGAGAAATAGTCTTACCTGCCTGCATACGCTCCAGCCACAGTACGTCTATAACTCCGGCCCTCTCGACGCTCTTCATCGCCGTCCATGCGTCACTCGTCGCGCGCTGGTGGGTTCGTTCGCGGTTATGGATGCGTGCTGAGCCGAGTCTGGCTTGATTGCCAATGCGTGGACCATCTGCGAGCCCAAGTCTGGCGGGCGCCCATGCGCTGGGCGGAGGCGCGCTGTCCATCTCGCTCGTACTCGGATTAGGGTTCGCTAGTAGGCTGCCCACTCTGCGTGGCGGGAGAGAGGGCCTGGTGGCCTGAGGGGAGGAGCGGTGAGCGTGGCCATGTCGTTGACTATCGTTGGTCGTGGCGGTGGGTGTGAGAGAAGCTACCGCGCTTGTCGTCAGCCTCACACTTTTGCCATTGACCACCATGATCCTCAGTATATGGACAATATCTTCTCCTTCTGACGCGTGAAGTCGACCGCACCGCAGGTCATGAGCGCGCATACCTATAGATCCTCTGTGAACAAGTTTTTTGCTACTGGCCTCCTTGAACACCAACCTGGATGATCTCCCAAGTAGGCCGAGCGAGCTTTCCTGTCATGAGCGGCGCCTACCGCCTCCGTCCAGGCTAGATGCTCATATTGTCGCGCAAGTCATGGCCTCGCAAAGTTGGCAGGCGGCTTCCGTGGCTTCAGAGCGCGCATAACGAGAATGTGCGATACGTTCTGCGGCCGGCTCAAGCTTCTGCAGCTCTGACAGTTGAGATTCGTAGACCAATCAGTACAGAGGCTTGTAGGAACACATCTGATTCTCATTCTTCTACAGGGGTGCTTCGCACGATCTACACGTATGAGTCTATATACGTGAGCAGGCTCTTCTTCGCACCTTCAAACCCTCCATCTAACTCGCGCTTTTTAGTCTTGTGCATACATGTCGACCTCTTCAGTCCCGGCCAACCCAATGTCAACGCATAGAGGGGTACAGCTGAGATGAAGTACGTGTGTCGTACTCATTGTAAGTCTCGCACTGATCCCATCTAGACAGATCCGTGACAGGGATGACGATGTGCGTCGGGATCCTAGCCTGACGGGCCTCCGTCGCCCAGCTAGTCTCCTAGGACTATCTAAGACAGCTGCTGTAAGTTATCCTAGCATCCCCATCTTTCGTTTGAGCGACCCGATGCTGAGATGATCGTCTAGCTTTCTGCGTGATCCTTGATACAACACATCAGCATCTACAGCGTCACCAGCGCAACAAGACGCCAACGGACTTACTCGTGCACGAGGACGTTGTCCGCATGCAATAGTGGCCTGGACGCGCAACGTATATGATAACAGTGACAGACGAACATCTATGCTACCCGTGCGTGTTGCAACGCGTTATTCGAGACTATAAGGTGTGGTACATAGGTGAGACAAACATTCAAGTCGGAAACACAGGCCTCAGCACGCTGCGACTTGCCCCGCATGGCCGCCGTCGACCCGACGTATCCCCTCTACCCGATCTCTTGCTTACTGGCTGCAGCAACGCTGCTCCTCGTGTTGCTGACCAGCTTCCTCCGTCAGAGCTGGAACCTCGGCGTCACTCTCTTATGCTTTTGGCTGTTCTTCGAGAATCTGACTGGCGGAATCAATTCCGTCATCTGGTCCGACAACGCAGACATCAAGCTGTACGTCTACTGCGACATTGGTGAGTACATCCTTTACGACGGGTCTGTTTCCGCACATACTCATTGGACTATTGACTCTGCTAGTCACGCACGTGCAACTGATTACTTCGGTTGTCAAAGCCATGGCCACCTTGATCATCACCCGCCGACTCTACCTGATTACCAGCCTGCGATCCATTGAACCTCATACCACAGCGGCGGTAAGTTACAGCGCGTGACCTATTCTTCTGTACTTAATGCAACATCAGAGACGCCGAGATCTCGCGATAGAGTGGACACTTGGGTTAGGAATTCCTCTTCTCGTTGCAGGACCTCTCTGTGAGTACATCTAGACTCATGTTCGACGATGTATGCTCAACGTTGTTCAAGACTACGTAGTGCAGGTGCTTCGATTCGAGGTCATCGAGGGTTTTGGCTGCACAGGCTCTCTCGACACCTCCATACTCAGCATGTTGTTCGCACGATCGTGGAACGTCCTCCCTCCCTTGATATCCATAACTGTCTACTACCGTGCGTCAGATTGAACGATTGCTCCTTGAACCTGTAACGCTCATGTTCAATGCCTTAGCCCATGTCGCTCGGATGTTCTATCGTCACAGCCGGGAGATCAACCAGTTCCTACAGAGCAACAACTCGGTCTCCCGCACGAACTACCTCCGCATCCTCGCCCTCTCCAGCATCGACATTCTGCTCACCCTGCCTATAGGCATCACGAACATCGTCTTGGCAGTGAACAACGGTCTGGCTTCTGGTCCCATCCCGTTCTACTTTGGATGGACCTACGATCACACGGACTGGCAACCGGAGAGCGTCAGCTATGCGGTTCTGGTGTCGGGCGGTACTCTCAATGTAGCCGAGTTCTACTTCACCAATTGGACGTCGCCAATTCTCGCCTTCGTCATCTTCGGTCTGTTCGGCGCTACCTCGGAGGCCCGCGCTTCGTACTGGCGCGTCACCTGTACCGTCTGCGGCTGGTTCGGCTGGAAGCCTATTCCTCGCGGGCGCAGGGCGCGTTCACCGCTGGGCGACATCGAGTTCGGCGAACAACCTCCGCAGAACTCCATGTCGTTGGGTCTCGAGTACGGTGACTCGCACATTTCAAAGGCCTTAACTGACGTCAATGTGCTAGCTCGCATCCAAGCTTCATCAATCCCAACACCCGCACACAAGAACAGGGCCCAGAGTGCGTTGGTGGCATGAGCGCGACTGTGTCTGAGAAGGACGTGGAGGAGGTGCACGGCTTTACCACAGACGCCAGGTACCTAGCTTGTTGTCCTCGCATGCCTCGCATATCTCCTGATGCGTCCAGCAGGTCCGCCGATGCAGAGCATTCGACGCAGCCTCACGGGTCTTGCCAGAGGGGTGTTAAAGACGCTCAGACAGCGGTGTGACTGATCTTATCGGAGCGTTGATGGGTACTATTCTGCGGCTCTCGCATAGCGAGGTAGCGCTTATCTGATGTTCGGGATGCCTTCCACATCGTAGACTTCCTTGTGTACACGCATTCAGCTTGCCTGCTCATGATCCAAATATCCGTGTATTGCGTTCAAGACTACTGTATACCTAAATGGACATGGATACAGTGCTACAAAGCCCCCAACAGATCCATCTTCGACTGAGATGCGAGTGTTTCGAGCGGTGAAGGTGGTGGCTGTGATGTCGTCAGTTCGTTCAGCTGGTGATGGTCAGAGACGAAAGAGTCGAGCCGGCCTACTAAGACCCATCAGTATGGTCTACGATGAGTTGTCGCTATGATCACGTACCAGGCTCTGGCTGTTCGCCCAACTTCCAAATCTCCCCATAGCCTTAGACGCATACTATCAGGTCGTCTACGCCCTGACAGCGCCTCTCCCATCCCGTGCGACGTATCTTGTACCAGCCAGTCCGCAGTGTGCCGCTATCGTTTCCGAGTGTCCGGATTCTCGATTCCGCCCGAGTACCGTGGGTGCGCCGTCGAGGAAATTGGTTCAAGGTTTGCTATTGATGCAGTGTGTGCCTAGACGCTTCTTCGGTTAGGAGGGGATGTTGTCGGCGTAGATGTAATCATGATAGAGTTCGAAAGGCAGAAGAGCGCGTAAATCATAGGGGGAGGACATGGAGCCAACTTCTCATCGGTTTCGCTGGTGGTGGTGGTGAGGGGGAAAGACGCGCCGTCGGTGACATCGCGCGCGCGACCCGACGTGCCTGTAGCTCTTGTCATTGACCGCCATGACCAACCCCAGTACCATTTTTCTACTCTATGGCATGAAAGGGCGCATAATTACGCACGTCACTTGCAGGACTACGTTCAAACTGTTTGGATCTATGCTCAATACCACGAAGCGGCGGCTGTCCATGCTTCGCGCCGTGTTCAATACGGGCGGAACCACATACAGAGTACAGCCACTCCTGGCAGACTTTACTTGCCGAAGGCTGAAGGTCCTCTTGTGCCAATGGCATTTGGAGAGCTTGACTGATGAGATGCATGCGATGGGATGATAAAGTCTACGCTCGGAATGCAAGCGGCGCTCTCATTATAGCGCTGGTGCGGTATGACCCTGATCGCCGCCCTTTTTCCAAACCCCTACGGTACAAAACACGGAACGCACCGTCCCGTAATGGCTAGGGGACCGCCAGCGATAGCGCGTTGCGCTTCGCAATGATGCCATCTTCTAGAGATGTTCCGTATGCCAGATGTTGCTCGGGGTTGAGGACATATAGCTGGCTCGGTAAGCTCAATGCCTCGTAGCCTACATCTGGGAAACGCCCCCCCACTAAGCGCCTCTCAGCGCTTCTCAGGGGCCGATTTTGATGCCCGAGCACTCAGGCCTTCTCAGGCCTTCTCAGGCACCTCTTAGCGCTCAGCTGCCTCTCAGCAATCTCTCAGGCGCTGCGTAGGGACTACTCAGCGGGAGATGAGTGAGGCGGTGTCGAAGGCTATAAAACCAGATATACGTACCAATTTGACTAGTTCCTCAGTTTTAGTAAAATATTATCGGACAGGTCTTAGGTTCGCGCGCGTGCTCGGTCGGACTTCAACAAGGAACGAATATGTAAACATTGTATTTTTTCTTCTCATAGCACAGAGGGGCCGAAAATGTGTGAGATAACAGGGCGTGGCATATAGCACAATGCAGGACTTCCAGATGAGCACAGTAGGATGGATTATATACTCTGGATTTCAATACAGATAGTACAGAGGCTACGGAAGGATATGGAAGGGAAAGAAGGGGACGTGAACGAAATCGCGGGAGGTGGACTTGTGAGCCGACGACATCCGCACTCGACGCGAGTTAACGGCAACCGTGCAAATGCCAGGATCTCTATCAAGTGAGTCAGAGCGGATACTGGGAGCACGAGTGGCTAACGTACCTACAGCAGTGCGCGCTCGCGCGCTCGGCGAGGATCCCGACCACCGTGCTCCTAGCCCCGAGCATGATAAAAGTCGACGAGGAAATTACAGGCGAGCAGGGGTGCGCCCATCGGCAGGCGCGAGAGCCGACGACGACGGGAACGACGGCGAGGGAGACGACGGCGATGAAGGGGAGAACAAGTCGAACGAGAAACGACCAGTCGCGCGACACGCGTTCCGAGTTCCCGGCAAACTCCGATTGGCTCGTTGATCCCGTCCGACGCGTCAGCCGCGACAAGTCGTTCGTTCCTTCTCTCTTCCCTCCACCATCCCCCGCTCCACGCTCACCCTTCCTCGCCCGCTCACCCTGCCTTCCTCGCGCCTGCCTTCTCCTCATTGTCGTCGCTGTCGTCGTTTCGCGTGAAACGCGCTATGTACGCGCCTTCGTCTTGGTGGGCTGCCCATCGCTGGGTAGCAACTCGTCGATGAGCTGGCGCGCGTCTAGCGCCCCACCCTGTCGTCAGGTACGTCGTGTCTGACTCTTCATACAGCGTGCAGCTCACAAGCCTCTGCACAGCTGTCGGCGCCGAGTTCTTCTCTCGCTCTGAGAATCGGGTACGTTGTTCCGTCATGTACGCTCTCAATTGTTGCTAACGAAATTGTTTTGCAGCGTGTGCCTCGCGCTCCCGGTGTCTGCGCCCGTCAGGTGCCCGCTCCTCGCCTGCACGAACTGTCACGGTTCTCGAGAGTAGGCTCATACTCGTCCAACCCGTCGTATTCTTGGTGCTACATGGTGAACTCTCCATGTACTTTTTTGATTCTACTCCTGCTGATAATCGTACTAGGCTTGCTGCACGGGTTTGGATCAGGACTGTCTTGGCTGGGATTGAAGCAGTAGTGTACAATGTATCTCCAAATCTCTGTATACGCTGTAGTAGTAGGATGTAATGTATCACAAACAATATAATTGAATTTGAAAATCTAATATTTTGCGTGATTTGAATATATGTCGAGCCAATGGCCTAAAATACTAGCTGGTAAGGGTATTGTAAGGTGTATTGAGTACTCGCTGAGACGTGTTAAGTCAACACCAAGTTCGCCCTAAGTCAACACTAAGTTCGCCCTAAGTCCAACCTGGCTTAGCGATTCTCAGCGATTCTCAGCGCTCAGCGATTCTCAGCGATTCTCAGGCCTGCTGAGCTGACCGCCCTGAGAAGCGCTGAGAGGCGCTAAGTGGGGGGGTGTTTCCCAGATGTATAGGGATCCGTGCTAACGCGTTACAGCCCCCCCCCCTCTTCAGATGGACCATCCCACTTCCTTTCTACACCCAATGCATTCGTCTGACACGCACCGGACTGATGTGGGTGAATCCTATGTCCCCTGAAGCTGCAGCAGACTGTTCTTCCGAGTCATGTGGAAGCATAAGAGGAGCTTTAAAGCTTCGCTCTTGCAGGCGCTCTTACCGATTGTGTCGCGATGGCTGCCGTCAATCCTACATATCCCCTTTATCCCATCGCTTGCATTCTGGCATCAGTAATGCTACTCCTTGTACTGCTGACTAGCTTCGTCCGCCAGAGCTGGAATCTGGGCATCGTGTTCTTGTGTTTTTGGCTCTTCCTCGAAAACCTGACCGGTTGTATCGATGCTATTGAGTGGTCTGATAACTACGACATCAAGCTTGACGTATACTGTGACCACTAGTGAAAGGGGGGGATTATCAAAACCCCTAACAATTGATGTGCGGGATTATCAAACCCGGTTATTCGCCGGCCTTCCAATTGC